GGAGGTGACCACATGGCGTGGCAGACCTCTCCTGACCCGTCCGCTGCTCCCCTCAGCAGTGTACTTCATTGATCTGCCTGTTCTGCTCCCAACTCTGCCTCTGGTGAAGCCTCTCACCGCCCCTGAGCCTCTGGCCTGTACCCCAGTTCTGCATGTACAAATAAATAAATCTTTAAAAAAAAAAATTTGTTTCTTTGCATTATAGTACCTACCACGGTATCTAATAATTATGTACCTGTCTCCCTGATTAGCTTCAGAGTACTCTTATAACCTAAACTGGATTTTACTTCTTTCATATACAGTAAGCAGAGTTCTTCATATACAGTGAGAACCCTCTAAATGTTGTTGAATACGTTGGAAAGAGAAATAGTGCATTATATTTTAATTGAATGAAATATGAATAGTGCTTCACTTAGAGTATGAGCTGTCACTTCTGTCAGTACCAAAGAGCGCTGGTCAGTGAGTGAAAGAGTCTGAAGCTGGTTTTTTATAGGCCATGAGTAACTAACATTTTGACTACAGGATCTTTGGATCTTAACTTTTTATTCTGTCAAATCAAATTGACTGATCTTTTAATTCCACTGTATATGTAAAGTAATTTTATGAAAATATTTTTTAATCAGTGAGGTATGTATTTTTAGATTGTTTAACTACTTCCATAGAATGTTTTTAGAATTGCTTCCTATTGTAATCAATAAGCATGATTATATATAGTTTTGCAAGTCAAATTAATTATGTTGTGAAATATCTGTAAGAATATCAGCAAGGTGATGCAGCTCTTTTAACTAAATTATTTATTATGTACTTAACACATTTTACTTTTAGGTATGTCTGACTGCAGCAATGATACTACAACTCTTGGTGCATCTAAACCAGACACAGAAGAAGTCAAGTCTAATTCTGAGGTGATTGGATGCTATTTATATTGTTTCTTGAAGTCAGCCCATCAAAGTTTTAGACTTTTCAAATTTACTTAATTGGTCTAAATTATGTGCCATTCTAAGCAAACTTTACACACAGAAGTGTCGGAAGGGGGTGGGTGGATGAGAGATTTCTTCATAGTGGTGACTTAGAGTTTGCCTTCAGGCATGTGACATTTTAGAGAATATCTCATACAAGTTGTGGATTGAACTAGTTTTTAATCTAAATGCGCAATGAAGTTTCTGTTAAAGTAATAGTAGGCAACTCACTTTTAAGCTAATCTCTCATGTGCTGTCCAGTTGGCATGCGTCAGAATCCAAGTATAGACCTTTCTAAGCAAAAATACTGAATTCCAGACTTCAGCTGAACCTAAATTTCAAGTGATGGACATGAGGCCAAATGTATGGTTGTTGGTTTGTTTGTTTTTTTCCTTCTGTTTTGAAAGTTCCGCAAGCAATTCTGACTGTACCACCTAACACCCACTGGTCTAGTTCATTAAAATAAAGAGAAAAATGTATGTTAATTTTATATTGAATTCAAGTCACCAGATATTTTTTAGAATATCTATTAGTGATGTGACTCATGTATACCGTGCAGACAGTTTTCATGTATCTGATATTCCATGGAATTCTCCCTTGATTCCTAGTACACTTGGGTATAATTCATTTAGGTAGTAGAGCAACTATTAGCTTCCTCACCTTTTAGTTGAACAATTCCAGTTTTCAAAGAGGTAGTCACAGTCTTAAAGAAATCATTGAGGCTGGAACCTAACAAGAGGATTTCTGGCTCTGGCGACAGCGCTTCCCAACCATCTCGTATCTATAAATGGCACAGTGGTAGGCGCAGCCCATTAAGCTGAGACCGAGTCTTTGTGATATGCTTTAATATAGTATTTAGAGTGTGATAATTTACTCTTAGTCTAAAAGTCAAAGGTGAGTTCTTCTAAAAAACAAAATATGTACTCTCTGTGGTGGATTTGGGATTCTTTGTCAAAGCAGTCTTGTTAGATTTAGTTCTGAGACACTAGGGAATTATGTATATTGCCTCTTAGCTCATGGATTTGACTTTTTATGCTCAGATACTTGAATCTGTACTGTTGATCATTAGAAATTTGATGTGTGTAAGTTACAGAAAGGATTGGCACCCCAAAATATGTTCGAATCATCATAATAAATGAGAGTGTTCTGTTTGGGAACACTACTTGTCATTTAAGCAGATGCTAAACTGGAAATTTCCTGGTTAATAGACTTAAGTCTGGATAATGAAGTGAAGGAAACCACTGTCAAGTAATTGTTCACATTTGTCTATAAATTAGCATAAAAATTATGTTAGGCATTCCCTGTGCTTTTAGAAAGTCCAAAATGCGTGTGGACATGGTGTGTGGAATATAATGAGTCTTGTCTCAGTATTCATGCATTAACCAATGTAGGATTTAAGAATATTTTATGACTTAAAATGCCCCCATTTATTAGTGTTCCGCTAACTTGAATCAATTTTTTTTCAAATTCCACAATGGAATTTGGTGTGGAGTCAGATTTGCTTGAAAGGATTCTTTTAATACATTTCCGCTCTAATGTATCATACCCACTAACTCTTTGGGTAAATGTTTGCTGTGCCCCAGACTGCAGTAACTGGGACTAAGTCTAGCAGAGCTTGGCACATCACTTGGCAATCACATGAAGGTGACAATGAGCTCTTACTCCACATGGTAAGAGGTACATAGACATCAGTTTCTTAGGAATAGAATATATTGGGATGATAATTTTCATTTCTTTAAAAGTAAAACAACAGCAACAAAAGATTCAGCATTTTGAATTGAGCTGAAACCATTATTAATTCTGGACAAGTGTCTTGAAAGTGCATACAGGTTCTGGAGGTGAAATGTCTTGCTCATGACCACTAACTAGTTAATTATAGAACCCAAGCTGATTTCTTCTCTAGTGATCTTAAAAAATGTGGTTGTATGAAAATGTTACCAGTGTTTTTCATTGTGAATAAAAAACAAACAAACATGGATTGCTTCATTGTACTCTAATTTGGTGTTGATTAGAGCAAATAAAGGTGGGTTTTGTTCTATATATTTTTAGTACTCAGTTTATATCTTGAAATGTGATATAACTTCAAAGAAATAATAGGCTAATAGGCACCAATTACTGAGAGTCTTGTTAAGTGTCAGGTACTAAGCTTATATGTTATCTCATTTAATACTATAATATCTCTGTTTTTGTAGTTGAGGTTCTCGCTCACATCTTGCAGATTTGGAGGGATTAACATAGATAAGGTACAGAGCTGTGATTTAAATCCAAAGTAGAAAAGTGAGTAAATTTAAGAAACTAAATAGAAAAAAAAAAGAAGCAAGGAGGTTTGGAGAACAAGCAACTAAGGTCTATATTCAACACAACAATAAAAAAGGAAAGCAAGCAGTTATATTAGGTTATTTTAGAGTATCCTGGAATTCTTTTCTGCTAGCACTTCAGTATATTACTAATACACATACCAATTTGTAATATATGAGAAAATATACTAATATTTGCATTCTTTTTTGTAAATAAGAGTCTTAAAAAGTGTTTTGGGTACTATCCAGCACTCAACTTGCATATTCATTAGTAAAAGACATTAAATTATTGTTGGAGGAGAACCAGGACTATTAATAAAGATAACATTTAAACTGAGTCTTGCGTTATGGATAGGATTTCAACATGTTAGGGATGATGGTTACTTTTGAGCAAATACATAAAGGCAGTAAGTTGAGAGACATGTATGAGGAAGTGTGAGTAATTAAGTTTGATTTAATAGAGTACTTAAAGAAGCATAATTGTCAGAGAGTATAAGACCTCAGGACCAGGAAGGACTTTTAAGTGTTAGAAGATGCTGGTTTTATGTTGTAAACATATTGGGGAGGGAGGTACATATTAAGCACGTACATAAATTATGTTATAATGTGACATAAAGTAGTGTTTCTGCCTGTAAAGCTGGTTTAAGGGCTAAGGAGTGATGAAGAATGGCTAATTTACATCAATCAGGGAAGGCCCTTCTAAGGCAATAATTGAGTGCAGACCTGAATGAGATGAGAGAGAATCATGTAAAATCTGGGAATAAGAATCTTCAAGAAGAGGAAATAGCAAGAGCAAAGATTTGTGTGTTTGAGGAACAATAGTGAGGGCTCTGTGGCTAGAGTTGTATGCTAGTGAGGTGAGAGTGGGAAGAAACACATTTCAAGTGGCAGCTAGCAGCTGAGGTCACTAGCTTGATACAGAGATGTAGTGACAGGCAGATGAGAAAGATGCGAGAAGATTTGAAGTGGAATTTTCAGGTAGCAGGTAGTGGGACATAAGACAAGCTAGGAGTTAATACTTGTAGATTAAAAACTTGCAACATATGCCAAAAAGACAAAGTAGTAAATGTGTTCCCCTACATTCATCATCCAGATTCAATAATTGTATGAATTTTACCAGTTTCTTTTATCCATCCGTTTTGAGTAAGAGATTTGAAAGTCATCTGCTTATCACCAAGAAATTGCCAAGATAACTGGAATAAAGAGATAGAACGAGGCTAACAACAATACCACTGATACCTGCATTTCAGCTCTGTTTTAGAGTGCAGTTATTCCCCACATTAATGAGGTGGGAATAGTGATCCTGGTGATGACTGGTGCAATTGGAACAACTCCATTATTTGTCCCTTTGGTCTGAGCTGAAATCACCATACTATAATTATCTTTACGTCGTGTTTCCAGTTTTCTAGAAATTTCACATCTGATTCTTATATGGTACATAGATAATAATAATAGATAATAATAATCATTTTACAAATGAGGGAATTGAAGCTTAGGGAAGTCAAGAGACTTCTGAAAAGTTATAAAAAGGTAAATCCATGTTTCCTGATATCTTGGTTAGCTCCTGAGACTTCTGGTAGGCTTACCTACCACTGCTCATCTAATCCTAACACTTTTGAACCAGGTTGAAGTAACACTTGCAATTAACCCTTCTTTCTAATACAGAGGCCCATTCAAAGACTTTGAAGTTATGAATTTAATAGAATTGCTTTCTCCTTTTTTGTGGGCAAACAAAAATCTAAATAATTTCATCTTACACAGAAGGCATTTGTGCTTTTGGATATTGGAGCAGAATATGGCCTCTGTCAACATGCATAATTAGTCCACTAAGCTCTGCGACCTCCTTTGTCTAAAACTATAACTAGAATAATTTTGAATATTTGTGGCTTCCCTTCTTTCTGTTCTTCTTTCACTCTGTTCGTTTTCTTCACTTTCTTCTAGCATTGACTGAGATTAAGAATTTGGTTCTTTCAATTAGAGGAAACTGTAATTACTTGATAGAGAAACAAAATGCCTACTGATTACATATAGCTCTTGAACTGAGCATTCACAATAGTTTTTAACACCTTTTAAAGTAATCTGGGTACTGATTTCCACAGTATTTCCTCTGGGGAATCTTTCTTCTGATAAAACATGACTCCCTGTATTTCTCTCTCTCTAATTTGGGGGAGAAGAGTTGAATGTTTTGACTCTGTACTTCCTACACTATCCTGCCTACGATCTTAACATGTACTAGTTTTCTTTTTGAATTGAATTTTGAAACTTCTAGTATATCTCTATGTCTGGCTTAATTTGCTCAGTATTATGTCTGACTTTTTTTTTTTTTGTAGCTCTGTTTTACTGCTATGTGATACTGCATTGTGTGATTATACCACAGATTTGTTTTGTTGATGAACATTTGGATTGTTTTCTGTTGTTAGCAATCATGAATAAAACTGCTTTGAATATTCTTGTATGTGTTTTTGATGGGCCTACACACTTCTGTTTCTTGGGTATGATTATACCACAGATTTAGGAATAATTATACTATAATTACATTACCTTTACATGGTGTTTTCAGTTTTCTAGAAATTTCACATTTGATTCTTAGGACTGTATGGTACATAGTTGGGAGTGTTACTGGGTCATAGGAGGCAAATGTTTAGCTGTTAATACTGCCAAATATTTTTCTAAAAGATTTTCCAGCTTTTACTTAAAAAGTGCCAGCCATGTGTAAATGCAGACTTCATGGTTGCTCACTTGGGATTTCTCAGTCTTTCTAATTTTGGCCACTCTGATGATCATGTAATAGTATCTGATTTGGGGTTTTAATCTGCATGGCATATCTTTGTTTGTTTTATACTGGTTTGTGTTAAAGAGTTTAAGGCATGCTTATAGAAGTGATTCTCAATTTGGCTGTACATTAGAATCACCTGACGAGTTTTTAAAAACAATTGGTAACTTACTTGTTGGTCATTTGTATAGAAACTTGTGGG